CATCCTGACTCCAGGGTGGTCACATGTATAACTAGTCCACTTTTGCACCCCAAGGTCACGGCTGCTCCTCTGGCCTTTGTCTGCACTTTGGGATTTAACACTTACGTGGCACTAGACCCGTAATACGTTTGGACTTCCTCACTTTGCTCAGCTAGAACCATCTTTTTCACTGAGCAGGATCCGGAGGCTATGCTGACAATGACATTGGAGCTGTTTCGACAACGGGGCACGGGGAGAGCATCCTGAAGGTGAACCTGGCCAGACTCGCTCTCTTCCATGTAGAGCAGGGTACGTGGGACAAGGTCACACTGTCTGGAGTTGAGCCAAACAGAAGCTGTTTGTAAATAGGTGGAGAGGATCTCAAGCCTCTCTCCTGTGCGCATGTTGCTCTCAAGTTAACACCATGTCGACTCTTCCCTCTTGTCTGCATTGGACTCAATACTGTCTGTCACCTGTAGGGGGCAGCAGAGAGACTCCGAGCCTGGGTGGAGGGACTGGTTCACCCCCCTGGGGGTGCCAGGGCATGGTCTGAGGGCAAGGAGGTCTGTACAGGCATGGTCCTTCTTGGAGGCACTCAAATAGAAATTGTTTACCAGGAATCTGCTAGCTTCGGTTTTTCATACTGCAAATGATTTTTCTATCGGATTCCTTTGAAAATAGCATGTTGTTTCTCAACCTTTCCTTGTTTTCAGGAAAGACGTTGGAAGAGGCTGCTACCATGTCTCTGGGTTACATGAAGTCAAAGCTCAATGGTCTGGGTGGTATCATCTTGGTCAACAGAGCAGGAGACTGGGCAGTCAAGTGGACCTCGGAGTCAATGGCCTGGGCGGCCGCAAAGGATGGCAAGCTACACGTTGGCATCGATCTTGATGAAACCAGCATCACTGACCTGCCCTAGGCCCCAAAGATGGTATTCCAGGTGCTGGCCTGCAGGTAAAGTGCCATCTCCTTGTGTGAAGACTTAGCCAGTTAGAGACAGAAATGGAAACACTGCAGTCTGCTCCTGGCTCTGTCACCTTGGTCAGTGAGTATCCGAATGTTTGGTGAGGGGTGGAGTCCAGAGCGATGAGAGAAGTGTCCACAGTAAGGTCAAAATAAGACAAGCAAAGATGACAGACGCCTGAGCCCATCTCTGGAGCAGTCCCTTGATCTTAGGTTAGAAAGAAGAAATGATGAGATCTTAACCCAACAGAAACTGCCTGAGTGCAGGGAGTGCCTTTGGAATTGGGAGACCCGCCCCCACAGAGGCAGAGCTGCCTCCCCACCCCCCGGGGCTGTCTTGGTTGCATTTTTTTGAGGGGAAAAGTGGGGAACAGAGTCCATGGAGGTATCTGGAAGCATAGCAGGAGCAGCAGAGCTAATGAGAGAAGTCCAGTTAAGCTGCAAAATGTCACAACGCCCACTGGACTCAGAAGAACATTGGGTAGAAGACACTAAAAGGATAAACTGATTTTTCTAAGAAAATTCATATCTTCGCTGACTTACTAATATAGATGTTTTGAGATACTCTAAAAGGACCCTCTGGTAACCTGTAGCTCCTTAATCTGGGGATGAAGGGTGATTATGGAGACTGTGGCTGGAGCTCCTTCAAGTCAGAGTTTTCTTGGGCTCACACATGAGCCTGCTCGCCCAGTGTCTCTCCCACGTAGCCAGCACGGCAGCTCAGAGCCAGCCTCTGCTGCCGCAGACCTCCGGGTCCTCACAGCGGCCTTTGTCTCCCCTAGGACAGGGAGGGCCGATCGATGCAGAGATGACACTGTGGCTGTGCCGTAGTGTGTTCTCATACTGTCCATGCTTTGGGACCCCACCCTACCCCCCACTGAACTGGGTGTGACTACAGTGTGGTCGTCATGGTGAAGAAAGTAATTTCTGTGGTGGGGAGTCTTCCTGTTAACCTCTTGTCACACTGGAGTGGTGTAAGCTGTGACTTACCTGCTCAGTCTTGTAGTCTGCAGGATTTACCTTCTCTCTGGAAAGAAACTGCTTAACTTGAAATTCCGCGTGCCACTAATAAAACATATTTTGAAAGAATAATAGTGTGGTTTGGAGTCACTGTTGATAGAGACCAGAGCGTGCAGGAGCTCCCTGGTCTGTCAGTGCAGACAGGTGTGCCAGTTATAGGCCTATAAGGTGAGGGTGTTGTGTGGGCGTGACAGTCCGCCTGCTCGTGGAGCACATGTGAGAGCTTTTCAGAAGGATTGAGCTTTTATGGAGTGGGATCAGGAAGGAACCAAACTAGCACTTGCAGGTGTCAGTGGGGTTATGGATCCTTCTGCCATCATTCACTCCGGGCAGGCACACGGTTTTAGCTTCTTCCCCTTGATTCTCTCTACTCCCACATCAGCCGCTCAGAACTAAAGGGAAAGATATGGCGGATGGAGCCAGAAGGGTTCAGCCTAGCCTCAGTGCCTAGCATGTGACAGTTATATGAAACTCACATTCCAGTATCCAAAATGAAGTTTTGTTCTAATGCAGACACACCTCTATGCTTACATATTGCCTATGACTGCTGTCAAACTGTGAGGAGAGACTTGGAGTTTCAACAGAGACCATGGGCCACTTACTCTCTGGCCGTTACAGAAGCAGCTTGCTGGCCTCTGATCTTGGGTCTCTTAATTCCCTTTATAATCTTTGCACAGCTGTTTAAGAACTTTGGAGAGAGGTCTGTTTCACTAAAGACAGCCTTTTCCATGCTAATTAGCCATTCATTAGAAAGATGGGGGAAGCCAGGAGAGTGGGCCGCAGAGACTGCATAGGAGCCCCGGACTTAGAAACAGTAACTTAGGCAACCAGATTCCCATTGGAAAGTGAGAGTCAGAGGATGGCCGGTGGGTGGGGAGGAGAGGTCTTCTTTCCATCTTCTCTGTTTCTGACCTGGCAGAGGAAAGTGCTCCTCCTCCTGACCCGCACTAGGTGTTATTCCCAACAAGCACACTAGATGGCAGCAGAGAAGGGCTTTTCCCTCATGACCTCCGCTCAGGCGTTATTCCCAAAGTGTGCACCGGATGAAACCAGAAAGTACCCTTTCCTGGAGACCTGCACTCAGGTGTTATTCCCAAGGTGCGCACAAGATGGCAGCAGAGGGGCTTTTTTTTTTGATGACCCCCCCACATAGGTGTACTTCCCAATCTGAACACTAGGTGGCATCAGGTAAGTGAGTTTCCTGGAGACCTGCACTCAGGTGTTATTCCCAACGTGCGCACAAGATGGCAGCAGAGGGGCTTTCTTTGGGTGACCCCCCACAGAGGTGTCCTTCCCAACGTGAACACTAGGTGGCATCAGACGAGTGAGTTTTCTCATGACCTACCCTCTGGTGTCATTCACTAGCTGCGCACTAGGTGGCAGCAGAGAAGTGCGTTCCCTGGAGACCCGCACCCTGGTGTTACTCCCAAGACGCTCACTAGGTGGCAGCAGAGAACACCTTTTCGGGCGCCCTCCCCGCCCGCGTTCTTTGCAACCTGCGCGTTTATTTCCAGTGCGAGCTCTTCCCGCGGACATTCTCTCCCGGCTGCAGCGCGTCTTCTCATTCTCTTAACCCTTTCAGAGCGAAGGCGTTTTCAATTTTAAGCAATTTCAGTTTAGCTATTTTTTTTTTCATGGATTGTGTTTTTGGTGTTTCTGTAAAAAAAAAAAATCGTGTTTACAACCTTGAGTCTCAACTTTAACAAGTTTGGGGGAAGATACGAAAAACCTCAAGCCCATGGTGGGGACCAAAAATTCTCCCAGCCGGTGAGAAGAGGCCGGAAGGTGAGTGATTCAGGGCTGCCCCTGTCCCGAACACTTGCATTTTGAGAAGTGACCCCAGCCTGTGGCCTGTGGGCTGTGAGCCCCACAGGGACAGGGGCTGCGACTTTATCTCTGTGTCCCCAGCGTCTGACACAGGCCTTATCTTAAAAGGTGTCCAAACAAGCACATACAACATTTTTCAATCAGGAAAGTAATGCGCCCTCATTGTTAACACGCAGGACGGAGCTGTTTGAGGCCGGGAGACCGGGAGCCCTCGCCGCCGACCGCTGTGATTCCTTCCTGTTCTTCCCGTTTGTTTGTTTCGGTCCATCTTTCACGTGGAGACAATTTCCTCAAATGTTAGATAATCGTGGCTTTTCTTCCACGTGCAATGATGAGTCATCCGAGGCTGATTGGAAGCCATGGGGGCCTGAGTGGCCTCTTCTCTGAGGGCCCCAACTTGGGGACACGGGAGCGTTGCTGTTCTGTTGGGGTCCCCAGGTGTCATTAGGGGATCAGCAACGTTTCTCTTGAGCTGGTCAGTTTTCTCTTGGAGGAAATTTCTGAAGCCCCGTGTGAGGCTCCAGGGGAAGGAAGTGCCGGCGAGTCTGAGCACCCCCTCCTCGGCCTCAGTCTCCAGCCTGGCCCCCCCAGACCCCCCCAACTCCACTCTCTGCGGGGCAAGGCGTTCCCAGTCCACAGCCACTCTGGTCCATCCCTGCATTTTCTGGGGATGAAGAAGAGGACCTGGGGGGGTCTAGCAGTTCACCCGCACCTACCGTTGTCAGGTTCACCCCACTCTCAACTGTCCACTCACTGCAGCGTGTCTCCGGCTGTCTTGCCTCGGACCCCTGGCTTCCCGTGGGTTCCCCACCTGCCGCCTGCGGCCCCAGGTTTTCCAGATCTGCCCTCGCGTGCCCTGGTTTGCCCTTCACTTTGACCCCCTTCCGTGCTGCCCTGGCTGACGCGCCCCAGCCCTCTGGCTGCTGCTTCGGGGTGGCAGGAGGGGGTGCAGCTAAGTGCCTGTGTGCGGCCTGCCCTGCGCGGCCGCCCTCACCTCCTTCCTTCAGCGGCGCGTCCAGGACACATTTAGTGCTTTTTAAGGAGGGAGGGAACTCCGGCTCCCAGAGGCAACACGCACGCCTGTCTTTGGTTTGTGTTATAATTTTAAATACTGCCGTGAACGCAGTGAACATCACTGTACATCGATAACTCTGTGTGTAAGTGAAGGGGGCAGAAGAGAGGGCAGGGGCTACCCGGCCCTCCCTTCTCAGCTCTGGTCCCCAGGGTGCCAACTCCCGCAGCCCGCGACATGGTCCACCTGGATCAGGAAGTAAGCTGACATTTGGGCAGGCAAAGCTACAGCCTGCAGGGCTCGAGAGGACTCAATGTGCCCTTTGTCCCCAGAGGGTACTGGAGGTTCCCGGATGTGGGTTTTAGCGCCACCGAAGGCCACGTCAGCCGGCAGCCACCTCTCCCCCCTGCCTGGGACTCGGCCCCTTCTGAAGGCGCCCAGATTCCAGACATTTTACTGTTAAATTTGTTCCTAAGTATCTTCCCGCTTTTGATGTTTCTTTGCCCTGTTTCTGTTTTGCGCTGCTCTCGCCAATATAGAGAAGAGCTAACGATTTTTGTGTTTGCACCTTCAATCCAGCCACCTTACCGAACTGTTGTTATTTGTGATTTATTTTTCCAGAATCTGTAGGTTTTCTAGATATACAAACATACCTACGACTCTTGGCTAGTGAATCACTCCTATATATTTTGCTCTTAATGTAACAGCCAAAATTTTATAACAATGCAGAGCAACAGTGGTGAGAGGCTCCGACCTTGTCTTATGCCTCATTTTAATGGAAATCCCATGAGCACGTCCAGGTCGGTGACCCCGAGCCGGTACGTCTGGACTGGGACTCCCAGTGATGGGGACAGGAGTGACCAACGTAGAGGCTGTGACGGCTGCAGGGAAGGTGAGGACATGCCTGTCGCCCTCTAAGGGACCTCACAAAGGTTACCACGCCCTGACCCCTGACAGCCCCAGAGATGGGGCAGGAGAGCCGGGGCCGGGCGGGAATGGGAACGACAGCAGCCAACTCGAATCCGCGCAGCAGCCCCCGGGGGGTCCTTTCTACAGACGAAGAAATGAGCTCAGAGGAGCCAGGAACTTGCTCGAGGCCACACAGGCAGGAAATCCAGAGCTGGGCCCGAACCCAGGCAGCCTGACTCTGGAACCCGCTGCCAGGGAACCTCCGTGCTCAGTTGTCCAGGCCGTTGGCGGTCAGGCTGAGAACCAGGGGTCCGATCCCCTGGAAACTGCAGCGTTTGCCTGGGACCCTGGAGTCCACGCACCGTCCACACGCAGTGAGCAGCGGGAACCCAGTGACGCCCAGTGGGTGGGATGGTGGCCGCTCCACAACAAGGTCTCTCCGCCCAGAACCTCAGGATGGGGCCTGTTTGGAATAAGGGTCTTCGCAGGTGTAATTAAGGTAAGAATTTTAAAAGTAAAGTTATCCCAAATCAGGGCAAATGGATGCGGGTCGGGAGTGATGTTGCCACAAGCCCAGGACACCGGGAGCCTCAGCAGCTGAGGAGGGGAGGGGACCCCCCGAGCCCTGGGGAAGGGTGGCCCTGCGGTACCCTGACGTCCGACTCCTGGCCTTCGGGGCCGGGAGAGAAAAATTCCGTTGTCTCGAGCCTCCAGTTGGTGATAATTGTCACAGCGGCCCCAGGACACTAGCACCGGTCCCTGCAATTCTTCATAAGAAACGCGGGCATTTACATCTACCTTATATCGCGAAGCTCGCAGTTGCTATTTATCACCCCGTGTTTTTGTCCATCGACGGAGACATTACTCTCCCGCGCGTAGTAATGAAAACATCACTGTCACGAGTTGTGCGTGACATTTGCAAACCTGTCGTCCTGCAGAGAAGGCAGCTGAGGCCCAGCGAGGGTCGTGGAGACTTGCACAGGCGGGTCCCGGACCAGCTGCCCCGACTCTGAGTCACTTCTCCCAAGTCCCATGACATCTGGGGCCACGCGTGGTCCCCCCCGGCCCACGCAGAGGCCGTCGGGGCCGCGCTCGTCCGGCAGCAGGTTTGGAAACACTTCCTGCTTCCCTGGCGCTGGCCCCCCCTTGGCAACGCCGAGCGCCCGGCTTGCGCCCGGCTTGCACCCTGCCCTTGTTCCAGGCGCTAAGAATTGCTCAAGGCTGCTGTCACTTTGCACAATTCCGTCCCTGCCCCCCCGTGCCCAGCCCCGTGACTCCCCCGCCCCTTCCTTTTCAGGGGCAGCGGATAAAAGGAGGGCCCGGCCTGCAGAGCCGGTCACCGGCTGCCATCTGTCCCCCAGCCAACGCCATGGCGTGGCCCGTGGCCTGGACAGGTGAGTGGGCGCCGTGGGAGCTGGAGGAGCGGAGAGTTGGGCGTAACCTGCGAGTGAGACTCGTGTCTCCCGACGCCTCCTGCGTGCAGGCGCCTGATTCCGGGTCCTGTGGGCCCCTGGGCTCTCTCAGCCCAAGACTGTTCGTGAGGAGGAAACAGGCTTTACCCGAGGTGGCCGCTGCCCAGGGTTCTAGCAGGAGGGCACCCCGGGGCCATGACCCCGAGTGTCCTTGCAGGTTTTCATGAACGTTTTATTAGGTTGAGAGGGGACCCGGGGACACTGGAGAGGCGACACCTTCTCTAAAGGGTCCTGCCCGGCACCAGGTCTCCTAGGACAGGATCCCTCGCCGCCCAGGGGCTGGCGCACGCAGGCCTCCCCCGGGGATGCAGTCTTCGTCCGCCCCCCCCAAATGGCCTTTCCCAGCCCCAGGTCTTCTTGTTCCCAAAGAAGCAATGTCTCTGAATGTCTGGTTTTCCTAGAATATCCCTAACCCCTGCCCTGCGCTGTGCTCTGGAGGGCAGCTTGGCTCAGGAAAGCTGCTCTCAGAGCGGGACTGGCGGGCCCCCCGCGTCGGGCCTGGGTGGGAGCGTGGACACAGGGCCTCTCGGGTTCCCCTGTCCTGAGCCCCCTGCCCCCACCTCCTGGGCCTCCCAGACCCCTGGGGCCGGGAAGGTGGGCACCAGCCTTAAACTCTGCCTCTCTGCTGCCCCAGGTCTGATGGCTCTGCTGATGATCCCAGGCGGTAAGTGCCCCCCATCTGGAGGCCCTGCCCTCCCTGGGCCCCTCCCTGGGGTCTGCTCT